CGGCTGCTGCTGCTGCTCGGCGGCGTCTCGCTGCTGGCGGCCACAGGTAGGGGCGCCCCGGGCCCACCGGCCCCGCTTTCAAACCCCACCCCGGGCCCCGCAATCCGTGGAAGTTCAGGAGCTAAGAGGACTCGGGGTTTGTGCGCTCCCCTGCGCTGCGCCCTGAGGCGGTCGTCCCGCAGTCCCTAACTGCGTGGCTGCCCCGGCCTGGGCGACGCCCCCCGCCCCTGGTTGGGCCCTAATCAAATCTCTCTCTGGGGGACTTGCTTTAAAGGCCGGGGCCCCAGCCCCAACGCGTCCCTCAGCCGGCCTCTCCAACCCTCTACCCCAGTCTTGAAACTCCGAGTTAGCTCCGAAGGCCCCACCCAGGCACCGCGGGTCTGGAATCCATCCGGACTCCTGTCCCGGGCTCCCGAGCCCCCTCATGCCATGCACTCTGTACCGGAAGCGGCTTTGGTGTGTCTTTCTCACTGCTCCCACCTCCACTCTCCAGGTAGGGGCTGTTGCACCCAGCTTGCAGATGAGAAGACTGAGACCGGAGGGCGAAGAATGGCAGTTTGGCCAGAGTCCCGCTTAGTCGTGGGGTGGTGGACAGGAAATGGTTGGAGTAGGGGAGCGGGTGTCAGAGTAGGGGAGAGGGTGTCAGAGTAGGGGAGCGGCGGGAGAGGTGGGCGGATAGCTGGGGTGAGGTAGTGGGGCCCAGCCTTCAGATACAGGGTGCAGGCGTGGGCCTGCCAGGCTCCTTGCTAGGTCGGCACTGAGATAGGCCACTTCCAAACCCGCCTACCTGGTAGCCAGGGTGTTGGAGTCTGGCCCAGCAGATGGGTGATTCCAAACCCCTCCCTGCCCTGAGACAGACAGCTGGGAGTAGTGCCCACCCAGACTGCTCCTTCTCTCCTTAATCCCCAAGGCCTGGCTGGGGGAGCAGCGTGGACACAGGATGGGAGGATCAAAGCCCCAGCAGGCTGCAGAGCAGTGACTTGTGCTGACCCCATGGCTGCTCAGCGCCATCAGCTGGCTCCCCCACTACCCCGAGTCTTTTGTTTCCCAGGGCCACATGCATGCCCCAGACCACCCTCAGAATCCCAGATTGCTTGTCCCTGGCTTGGTTTATTTTCTTTTAAACTCTGGTGACCTCCTTGGTCAGAAAGTCACTTGTCCCAGCCAAGGCTCCCGGACGCTGTGGTTTCTAGGACATGCTTGGGTGGGGGGCAGCGTCACTTTGCAGGGGTTTCTGGGCTTGCTCAATGCCGCACAGCAGCCCTCCGTGGGGGGAGCAGCCCTCCGTGGGGGGAGCAGCCCTCTGTGGGGCACAGCTTGTTCCTGGCACTGAGCATGTCCTGGGATACTCCTCGGAGCTGGAGGCAGTGTGGGGAGGTGCTGGGCTGACGTTAGCACTTGTGGGCCGGCCTGGTTCCTGGAGGGTTCACGGAGGGAGGCTCGATGGAGGCAGGAAGAAGAAGCAGGCATACATGTGGAGAGCTGGGGGTGCTGTGGAATGGATCTCCCTCGGATCTTACAGAGGAGAAACTGGGTCTGGAGAGAGGCGTAGTTCCGTTCTCATGAGCTGAGGAGTCCCGGAATCCCCCTCAGTGCTCTTTCTCACCTCCTGTTGGAGAATGGTTGTCCCTCTGTGTGCTCCTCTTTGAGTGGACACGCACGCTTGCCTGGAGTGGCTCCCTGCCCAGTCATCCTTCTTACCAAAGAGTGGCTCACTCAAAGGGTGCAGAAAGCTGCCTTTTTTTTAATTGCCAGAGGGTGTGTGCGCTTGCCAGAGAGACAGAGGAGAGGGAGAAGGCAGTCCCAATGGGGTATGGTCATGCTGCAACAATCCCTTCTTCATTTTGCCATCCTGCCAGGATTTGGGGCATGCACACACACACGCATGTACACACTCGTACACACAGTTGTGTTTTTCAGAGCACCGGGGCTGGGATTGGAACCCCAGTTGGCCATGTGAAATCTAGGTCCCTTAATCACTAAGCTGCCAGGCTAGCTCCAGAAAGCCTCTTAATTGTACCCTTTAATGAGAACAGCTAGGTTATCCTGTGGTCCTTTTTCTTTGGAGACAACCCCTTTGTGTCTCTGCGCTTGATTTGATGAGGTGTGGGAAGAGAGGTCAGAGGTCTGATCACTCCTTCCTGCCAGCTGCAAGCTAGCAGGATAACCAGGAGCCTCTCTGCAGCTTCTTGAGGCCCTGAGTGGCACTGCCTGGCTCTCCGGAGCCATGGGGGCCAGGCCACAGGGAATCATGCAATTTAAGAGTGATGGTTGACCGTGGTTCAAGTCCTAGACCTGGCAGCTTGCTTTCTCACTTTCCTTCTCTCTCTTGTCTCTCTCTGGTGAGTGTACATGCCCTATAGCAAATTAATAATAATGATAGTAATTAATAAAATTAAGTAAATAATTCTTTTAAAAAAAAAAGAGTGATGGTGAAATGGTGATCCAGTGGCTAGCCCTTTAACTGACCTGCTGAAACTCATCCGCTGGCCTGGCCACTGGCCACTGAAATGCCGAAGGGTGCGATCTTTCTTGCCAAGCACGCCTGTGTCTCTGACCATCTGTCTTGTGGTGGAAGGGAGTGAGGAAGAGGAGGGTGATGGGAGAGGTGATCGGGCTTTCTCCAAAGCTTTCTTGGCCTCTGGCTGCGGGGCAGCTCGGCTGACTGATTAGAATATGGTCATGTTGGGAGGGAGAGCAAAGGCACCAGGCCTTGGCTTGAAAACCTGTGGCCTGGGTGAGGGCTCCTGGAAGTCCCCCCGTGGGGGGGAGGCTGGGGAGGGGGACAGTACAGCAGTGAATGTATGCGAGTAACCTGAGGGGTGCCCCGGGAAGGTACAGCCGGAGGGTAGAGCCGGAGTTGTACAAGCCTTCCTGCAGCTCAGACTCATGCCTCCTGGCACTGCCCAAGGCTCCCCATGATTAGGGCTGATTTGCTATCCCTGCTGAAAGGTGGCCTGTGGGGGGAGGTGTTCAAGCTTACAGCAGCCTTGGTGCCAGCAGGGTGCCCAGGGCCATCCGATGGGTCCGGAAAGCGATTTGCTAGTCATCCCTTGTAGAAAGCCAGGGATGGTTTGGTGGTCTTCTCATTTGTACAGTGGGCATGACAACACCTGCTGCTTAGGCTGTCCCACCGATTAGGGACAGGCCACAGGACGGCAGCCGTGCAGCTGTGTGGCTACTGGGAGCTGTCACTCATGTTGGCTCGGTCAGTCCGTACCATTTCCCCCAAGTCTGCTCTGGGGTTCTGCTAACACTGGCTCTCTCCAGCCAGGAGCTGTCGAAGCCAAACACTTGGTGAAGGCCAGGCAGAGTGACATCCAGTCCTTCACTGAGTATCTGCTGAGGGACCACTGGTGCCAGACACCGTTCTAGCTCTTAGAGGGGGTATGGCAGGGAAGGCCAATGACCTGGCCCTTCTCCCACAGGGCTCATCACCCCTGCCTCTCCCAAGGTCAGGGAAATGAACTGAGCCCTATAGGTGGTCAGGGAAGACTGAGAAGCTTCTGGGACCTGAGGGAGAAGATATTGGCTTAGTGTGCGGGTAGGACTGGGAACATGGTGGGGGAATGGCATGAGCAAAGGCCCAGAAAGCAAAAGGAAAATGAGGCCTCCAGGGAGCTCTCAGATGACCTGCCCCCTCTCCAGGAGCGTGGCCTGAGCAGTCCGCAGCTTCCCAGCCTTGACCACAGCTCCTTCAGGGCGGGGTGAGCGCGGGGCACAATGGGGTGGACTAACAGCTTTGCAGGTAAGACTTTAGGGAAACAGTTCTAACGGTGCACAGTTACTTCGTGTTACCAGAGGGTGTGTGTGCCCCTGGAGAGGGTGGGAGAAGAGAAGCATCCCCAGTGGGGCATGGGCATGCCACGATCCTGTGTCTTCCATTCCTCCTTCTGGTCGGGATTCTGGGCACTCGTGCATTCGCACTCAGCATGTACATTCAGCCGTGTGGAATCAGTTCCTTATGCACAATGCTTAGCCTCTGCACTACAGAGCTGGCCCCTTCTGTTTCGTACAACAGAAGGTTTTTCTTTCTGCAACTTGAGTAATAAATGATTTTACAGACCCTCTTTCGCTCCAGTATTCATGTAACGACCCCACATGTGACCACAAAACAAAACGGGGTGGGAGGGGAAGCCCATTGTGCCAGCTGGTGGCTACTCATCTGCCCCAGGTCACGAGCGTGGAGCGGGCAGCACTAAGGGGAAGCTGGGTTGGCCCTGCCTCCTTTAGCCTCGAGGCTGGTCCTCACCTGAGGTCGGGAGAGGAGGAAGTGGGGAGCCTGTGTCCCCGGCTGCCTGCGAGTTATCAGGAGGTTCCTGCACTGCAGCCAGCGCTGGAACGGGTGAGGAGCTTGTGCCTGAAGTCGTCTTGTCCAGTCTGGTGACCGCTCTGGGTCTGTTTCCTGTACGCTGGGAAACGGTCATAACTGAGCTGTGGGAACTGCAGGAGCGGGCGCAGGCCAGAGGTAGTTATTGGTGTGAAGTGCAGGGAAGTTCAGGGAGCCAAGGAGTCATGAGAGAGACCGATGTGCCTCGCAGGAGTACACACACATGGGTGTGTCTGTGCACGTGTGTGTGTGTGTGCGTGCACTTGTGCAGTCAGTGAGGGCTTCTCAGAGAGGGACCCTTCAAGCTTGGTAGCATGGATGAGTTGGCCTAAGGGTAGCAGTGGCCCCAGACCACCCAGCCTGTGGAGCCTCATCTTCTAAAGAAGCCCAGGTGCAAAGAGATAAGTGGAAGGCCAGAGTGGATGGCCGGGGACGGGGCCCTTGGAGTTGGGTGGGCTGCTTTGGAGATGTCCAGGTGGCTGGGGGAGGCGGCCTGCGTGGACACTAGGCTGGGCACAGGAGGTCCCTGCCTGGCCTGGAGCTCCTGGGGCGAGCTCAGGGAAGGAGCGTCTTGCCTTCTCAGAAATGTGCCTTCATTCTTCTCTTGCTGCCTCCTGGCTGCCTCCTTGTCGCCTTTGGGACAGATGTTAGGACACACTTGGGTATGAGCACATAGGCAGCTTCTGTGCTGGGGATAGGGCCTGGAGCTCTAGGAG